CTTTGGGTGCTCTGTATATAGTTCTTTCAGCTTCCCATCGAGCGTTTGCTGAAGCGGCTTAAACTCAGCCGAATTAAACAGGTTTAACTTTGGATATTGCAACGGAACTGTTCGGTTTAAACCACAAAGCAGACTATACACGACTTCATGGCGGTATTCTTTACTGTTTCTCTTCCGTACTTCTAGCGTTAATCGGCCAAACCAGTGATTAATTTCGTCAACTCTCATCTCCTGCAAATCTGGCACACGCTTAAATACTTCACTCTCGGCTTCAAAATCACGAAACTCGGTATTTCTTGCCTTTGCCCATGCTTTATAAACATTCGTGCTCCACCTAGTGTGTTTGATAGTATTCTCAGGCGTTCTGTTATCTCTAACTATCTGAACATCGGCTTCCATAACAAACCAGAAACGTTTATCCGCCATGTCATTCTTAGTGAGCGTCCAAAACAAGAGTTGTGTTAAAAAGTAACTCATTTTATATGCATACATGCACATGCACCGGCCTGACACACGTATATTAAGAATTGTTTATTCGCAAACGAATTTCCGACAATGGAAAATTGTTGTATACATCACTGATCATGCATTGTATTACACAATACTCGTACTATCAATTAATTTTGTACAATGAAAACACTAGCCTCACCTCGGTCATCATGGTATTACAAACTAATACCATGGTTTTTAAGAATATAGTGATTAAATCTCCCGCGAACCGAGGAGGTTTGTGAAAGTCCCTCGGGACGCTTCGGGCTTCGCCCTCAGGCTTTCCCTCGGGACTTTCACAAACCTCCCTCGGTTTGCGGGAGATTTAATCACTATATTCTTAAAAACCATGGTATTACTTATAATAATTTCCAGTCTTAAATCCGTCTGGCCGTGTAGCTCAGTTGGTAAAGCGTCGATCTAGTAATTCGAAGGTCGCGGGTTCAAGACCCAGCCGCGGAAGACTTTATCTTTCTGCATACGCTGGGTATGGAAATTATATAATACACACTCGAGAACATTTTCATCTGAACATATTACGGAGTGTACAATTACACAACTCAACATAACACTTGCAGAACTAGCATTGTTCGATGCTGAATTAATATAAGCGAGTATATTTATGACATTCAGTATATATTTCATAATTTCCAGTCTTAAATCCGTCTGACCGTGTAGCTCAGTTGGTGGAGCGTCGATCTAGTAATTCGAAGGTCGCGGGTTTTAGACCCAGCCGCGGCAGACTTTATCTTTCTGCTTACGCTGCATGGGTATGGAAATTATATATTATGTATATTGTTTTTCCTTTTACCTCAAAAAACCACAACGGTCTATTTCATCCGTATAGGGACCAGCTGATGATTCCTATACGGATGAAGCAGACTGTTGTGGTTTTTTGAGGTAAAACGAAAAACTATATTACACAGTAAAATTCAGAGGGTAAAATTCACCCCAGTTAAGGTCAAAATTTACTCGCTCTGCGAGAGTAACAATCTATGGGGCAGAAATTACCCTATATCTAGGGTAACAATTACACCATTGGTTGACCAATGGGTAACAATTACACCAATCTCGGGTAACAATTACACCAATCTCGTGATGGGTAAAACTTACCCCCTTAAAAGGGTAAAGCGCTCTTTTATCCGGGGTAGAATTTCGCTGGGGTAATATTTACTCTGTTGAAAGTTCCCGGTCACGCGATGTTTCAAAATGGCGTCGTATAATATTGCCAATTTTAATCTATTTTCACAAAGAGCTTATTGTAGAATGGTTCGCCGAGAAGGAAATCTTTATCAGAGTACGCTTTACATGGTAAGTTAATTAAAGAGCCATTTTGTGCCCTAAGTTCAACGACTAAAGCTTTGCTTTAATCATGTTTTAATATTCTTAAGAGTGGCAAATGACAGTTTATATGAAGCCGTGTTCTAGCCGTAAATCGCTTGTCACGATATCAACTCCTAATGTTTAGGCCATATAATTAATCTTGCCTTGTCAAAAAGGTTTCTATTTGTTATTCTTGTTTCATTTGGTCATACCCTCTTGCTTTAAGCGCTATTAAAAGAGGTTAGTATTATTTCTTGACAACCGATTGAGTCAAGAAAATACGACAATATTGTCAATATACAACAGAAAATAGGCTATATCAAGAAGGACAGGCAGTCAGACGGTACATAAACCGAATATTTACAATGTCCAAGTAATACTGTCCAAAATATTTAAATTTTGATTTAATATTGCTGTTGACCAATAATCCAATATATTTATAGAATACAATTTACATCATTACATGGAGTTATAAGTATATAAGTTTGTTTATTTGCACAAATGCAGAATATTAAAAATATAGTTCTTGTTAAAACACGAGGTTGAGTTAGCAATGTCTAGCACCAGACAAGTTTACTTGCCAAGGAGACAGCACTGGCACTCAATGAATTAATTGACCTGTCTGCCTATGTGACTACAAAGTATCCCATTAAGTTGTATTTGCACCCTACTCTATCATTTTACCCTGTCTATCACCAGACAATTTTACTCGCCATGGTCAAAAATATGCATGTCGACTTAATGACAAAGATGTGGTAAGAAATGCTTTCCCTACCATGGCACTGGACACTTCAGAAAAGTTCATTTAACTGCAAAGAGTTGTTAGATGGTTTTCACTAATATAAATGACAAGAGCTGATTGCCTAATTGTATTGGGAGCATAAACATCTATGGCTGGAGTAGAAAAAGCCATTTTGTGTTGTATTTATATTTAAATTTTATTTATAGAAATGATGGCTACATGTATCAGCAAGGCTACTGTAATGCACAAAATATATGTACCAGCTTGGGACATGCCTGTAGTTGGTTAAAGAATCAATCTATTCTGAATAGACAATTAAAAACCTACAATTTTGTTTCAATTACTGTAAGCTGTTGTCTACCAAGGTGAAAGAAATCAATGAGGATTTTCTCTAAAATTAAATTTTGACCATAATTCATTCATAAGTTATTTTAGCAAATCATGTCAACCATAATATGGTACATGAAATGGTTTCATAATCATACCCGATGAAACTAAACATCATTCTAACTAGTATTCTGTTCATACAAACATGATGCATGGTATCTGGGGGTAGGGATAGAACCTGCCAGATATGGTAGGGTATGTGTGTGCGCATTGATCTATGGTCATGATTTGGAGTGCAACCTGTTGGCCAAGTTCATAATCATTTGAAGCTATGAACAACAGTGTTCCGTAGAATGGGTGAAACATTGCCCTGGAATGGGCTGGAAGGGTCCAGGGTGAATTATTGTGGTAACATTTAGTGACAAGATATTGCCCTTCCAAATTGAAATAATGGGTTTGATATTAAAATTGGCATCCCCCTTTCACCCACCCCTCTTTGGGAGTGTGCACCCCTCAGTAAATCTATCCCTGTCTGGGGGTATGTAGCCCATCCACTTTGTCATCCACCACACAGTAATACAAAGTCTAGGATACAGTATTTATATATTTACTCCTCTATTTATTGCATACGTTTCAGTAAAATGCTCTGTGTATTCATGGACAAGGTTGGCATTGGTTATCATGGCTTTCACAAGTTTTCGCTCATGAAACTATTTCATAATTAAAATAGTAGACTTTAGTATACCTAATTGGGTGTAATATTTAAAGCACGTTTAGGAGTGTATGCTGTAATTCAAATAATACTTTACATGCCATCTCATTAGTGTTTGTATGTAGGGTATACTAATTAGAGAGATATTTAGTTTCATTGGGTATGAAACCAATTTCACGTAACATACACGTATTATGGTTGACATGATTTGCAAAAAACTTATGAATTACGAGTGTTTGAATTATGTTTAATATCCTCCTTACTCCCACGCTTTATAATCATATTTCGCGTTTTAATTTGACACCAGTTTATCCGTACCCTTCCGTACCAGGCACCATCATGATATTTGAAAATATGTCATGCACATGCCTATCCACGTGTCTAGTTTACACCAATAAGAGGGTGCGAAATTTTGGCGCAAAGTACATGGATCTAAACTAAAAGACAGTTGATAATTGTGCTCTATCTCGCTCGAAGCAGTTCGGTACTGAAGTACATAAACATTCTCCGCTTTGCGTCTGGGATATCCTCAAAGGTCAAAGTGAAAGCTACTATGTTACGCGAACTGTATCAAGATTCAGTACGATTGTAGAAGGTAAGCTCAATTATGCTTTTAATATAAATATGTATTCGTGTTTACCCATACACTTGGCTCTAAGATATCATGTCTTAAATCGTTAAATCGTAGAACCATTTTGTTCTGTTGTCTAACTTTGTCCACTGTTTATGTTGCTCTTCCTATTATTGGATCTATTAAAAGTACATGGTAATTGCAGTCTGCGTTCTTGTTCAAACTAAATAAAATATAATTGCAAAATATCTTGGTGCGCATTCACGCAATTATTCGCGCAATTAAATGATATATTTATTGTTCATATAACCAATTGCCGCGTACTACACTAATTATCGTATGTTTATTGCGTTATTTACAGGGTGCGCAAATATAAATTGCTGAATGATATACTGTATATTCTACACAGAATGCATGTAAGTAAATCGGCCTCATTTGGCGCTCGTTCAACTTGCATCAGTGGAAATTTGTTTCACGCCTTTATCACTGGTACATCATTTAATTCTTGTAGGAGCTATAGTGTACACCAAAGCTTGCGTCAAACACGTTACGAAATCTTTCTCGTATTCAACAAGCAAACGTGGTCGTTGTGCAAAGGCTTTTTTGTGTATTATGTACAGTATTATCTGGGTGTCAAAGGAATTTGAGCTTGCCTTTTAGTTTAGTTTAGGTATGCCAAATATGTTGCGTGCTTGCCTGAAGGTCACGGTCACACTAAAAAACGTACATGTTGCTTGCTATATTTTGCAATAATTTTATATATGTACTGTCTATGCAGAAAGCGGCTTTATACAGTACTCGCTGTATATCGATTATTAACGATTCAGCCAGATGTAGAAATAGGCTCGATAACTAAAAAAATCGTAAGTCAACAATATGTCAATATACAGTACTTGAACAGAATTCGTTGATTGCATGCCATACCAACTAAATTTTGTTATTGTATTCGGTTGCATGTGCGCATTTTGGGTTCAAGCAAGCATTCTAGCATAACTGTCACCGCGAGTCTGCGACCTTACAAAGTAATTAAAGATTATAGATTCAATACCTTCGCTTCAAAGCATGTCCCCTGGATTTTCTAGCAAGTGGACAAATTCCCCCCCTGGAAAGTGACTCATAACAAATTTCATTCCCTATCTGCCCCCAACTCATTAAAGTTCAACAATTATAGCTAAAAATACAATCTAATTTCAGGAATGATGAAAGTTTTTCCCAAGACAAACATATTAAATGAGGAAAAGAGTCCCAAAGATAAAAATCTGGTGTTCATATAAGGTATATGTTAAGTTTATCATTTACAGTATTCAAATAAATATTAATAAAATTAATCGAGCTATATCAATAATAATTAATTAAGTGGATCCCTAAAAACCCAACATTCATGAAGTCCAAAAGATCACCTCTGGAACTGCCAACATATATGGGAAAGAGTTTAAAATCAGACATTCACTTATCACAAGTATCTACAGTATAGTATACTGTAGGTTAGACCTGCCATTTTTATAATAGTATAATAAGAATTAATAAAAATAAAATATATTAACATAAAATAGATAATATTTTCCCATTTTAAACCTTATTGCTAAGTGTTATCTCTCTCTCTGTTCTCTACGACCATACTAATTGGCATGGATTTTGATGCTGTATAATAACAGTTGAATAATATATAGGATAATAACAGTTGATAATATATAGGATTTTGAAATGTCTCTATACATGCTGAAGTTTTGAGTTGGCACGACTTGAAACAGAACGTGAGGCGGCACGCCTTGCGAAGTATAGGAAAATTTTAGCGATCTTATGTATTAAATATGCATGTATATTGACTGGCGTACATCAAGTTTTGTTGCCATGCTGAATTTTTGGGTTGGCACGACCTGAAACAGAGCGTGAGGCGGCACGCCTTGCGAAGGCGACAATCCTTGTTATATGTCAATACGTCAACAAAAATGCATGATTTTAAGATAGTTCAACAGAACTACCATTCAAAAACCCTTTATATATATTAAAGTTTTTTCGACACGTTGGAGAGAACTGCAAGAAATATACCACTTATCCGGAATTATAACCATTATACAGATTGTTGTAGATTATATAGTATATAACTATTAAAGATTGATCCCCATACATGGAAAAAGTGTGGATTAATTAAATTAGGAAAAGAGTCCAAAAATATAAATCTGGTGTTTAGATAAGGTATATATTTTAAGTTTATCATGCTATCAGCAAATAAATAAAATAATATTAAATTATTAATAAAATTAGTCTACAGATATTAATAATAATTAAGTGAATCCCTAAAAAACCAACATTCATGAAGTACCTTCTTTGGAACTGCCCACATATGGAAAGAGTTTAAAATCAGACATTCACTTTAGTATCTATAGTATATAATAGGATGGACCCGCCTGGTGTTAGATGAATTTTTATAATAAGATTGTATAATAAGAATTAATATTTTAAATAAAATATATTAACATAAATAGATAATATTTTTCAGTTTTAGACCTTATTACTAAGTGTTGTCTCTCTCTGTTCTCTATGCCCATGTATACTATGAACTATACTATACTATATATATATATATATATATATATATATATATATATATATATATATATATATATATATATATATATATATATATATATATATAGTATATATAGAACTGCTCTTAGTACTCTGATGAAGGTTGCAGTTAGCAACCGAAAATTTAGAAATTTTTTAGACTTTTTATTGTACATATTCTAGTATTTTAAAAAGAATTTTAGACCAGCTTCAACTCCAAAACTATCATATATATATATATGTGGAAAAAGTGAATGTGAACCGCTCACAGTCTGATGAATCCCCCCATGCATACGTGCATTATTATCATGACATGAACTCAATGACAATGCATTTGATGTTATTTTTATCTTATGTATAAGGCGTACGTGCAGCTTGGGAAACACTATATACAACTGCTTCAGTCAGCCGAAGGATGGGGTTATTGAATATCGAACAGTAAGTATATATAACTAGTGCTTTAATTACACGCCCCAAACCTCGGTAAAGCAAGAATTTACAGCTAGGTTTTGTTATCTGGTGTGATAACGTTTTTACGCCTGAATTTTGCATAAGGGTTTTGTCTTCTTAAATGTTTCGTTTTATATGAACATTGCCAAAATGATATTAATTTGAATAGCAGTGCCCAGTTCACAAAATCCGAAAGATCCCCAAACCAAAGCATACATGTAGATACAAAAATCTTCAAAATTTGGAAGTATAAGAGTACATTCGTGCAAGAAAATAACAATTTTACCCTCTGCCTTTTAGAGAAATATTGGAATTGCAAACTTTGGTCATGCACATTTTCATTTTGGTTGCTATCCAGATTGATGATTGAAGACCCTTGCAGTATATATACAGTACTTAAAATCCAGGAGCAAGAATATCTATATATACAGCGTGTCATATAAAACATGCATGCATTGTGCTTTCCCCGTGATTAAGCCTATAATTTTAACTTGTGTATGTCTGTAACTGTGTATAAAAACAAGATGAAACAAATGCTTTGTGAAACGTGACTAATAAAATATATGTTTATGTTTTAAATATTTGTGTATATAGCCTATAATTGTGAAAGGCATCCTAATTGTTGGAGACAATCGTGCAGCAACCATGCAGCGTACCAAGGAATTATGCTTAAATTTGCAGGTCGAAAGTGCTATTGTAGCGTGAATTGTGAAAGAATCTCTTCGTGCATAGAGTAGAAATTACACTATTCCATGGTGGGCAAATTTTACTCTACCCGTATTTTTACCCTCTAAAATGGGGTAATTTTTAGGACAAAACAGTTACCCTCGTTTTTGGAGTAAAATGTGCTCCTTAATCTTCGAGTAAAATTTACTCCCTACTGAAAGTTACCCCAAAAAACTGGGGCGTTTTTAGGACAAAATTTTACCCCACTTCTTCGAGTGACTTTTACCCTTTGAATTTTACTGTGTACGCTCTATCTATATGGTATCGAGCACTGTTTGTGTTTCGTTAACCAAAATCTTAACCTATATATATATATATATATATATATATATATATATATATATATATATATATATATATTAAGATGAAAATGTTCTAGAGTGTGTATTATATAATTTCCATACTCAGCGCAAGCAGAAAGATGTTGTCTGCCGCGGCTGGGTCTCGAACCCGCGACCTTCGAATTACTAGATCGACGGTCTACCTACTGAGCTACACGGTCAGACGGATGTATATATATATATATATATATATATATATATATATATATATATATATATATATATATATATATATATATATATATATATATATATATATATATATATATATATATATATATATATATATATATAAGTATATATATATATATATATATATATATATATATATATATATATATATATATATATATATATATATATATATATATATATATATATATATATATATATATATATATTTATATATATGAGAGAGAATATCATTCAGTTTATACAGTAAAATAGTGTTCTATAAGGATTGTCATTGTTTTCTTTAAATATAATACATTTTAATTCACTCACCCCCCACCCCACCCCCCACGAAAACACAATTTCAGCCATACTTTGCCGTCTTGTTTGCTTTTTATCGCCGAGTCTCGCTGATATCATCCAGTTGTTGTACTTTTACGTAATAATAGATGGCTAAGGACGATTTCGACGAAGTTTAATGAAGTTTTGAAACAGTGCAGTATATTTTATCTTCGATATTGTGTCCTTCGATATTTCGTCAAATTGCCGCCATTTTAATGGCTCGCCGCATCTCTGCCCGATAAATGCCACTTCTTCGTCTTCTTATTTGTTTAGACTACAGTATCCAAGAGTACTTCGTTGTAGAATAGTCCCAATCGAAAAATGAAAACATTTGTTAGGTTTTGATGGCAAAACCCTCCAGGTAATTATTTAGATTCAAAATAAAATACAAAGCATTTGAAAGTCACGCGCAATCTTCGCGAAAACTTCTCGTGGACACATGACAGGGGGTGAATATTTTCTCGAAACGTTTGTTCGCCACCACACAAACCTAAAATATATTGTATTTTTATGAATTATGATAAAAACAATAAATATTTGGGTAGTTTTATCATAATTCATAAAAATACAATAAATAGACTATATTTTTAGGTTTCTGTGGTCAGTGTGGTGGCGAACAAACGTTTCGTGAAAATATTCATCCCCCCCTGTCTTGTGTCCACGAGAAGTTTTCGCGTGACTTTCAAATGCTTTGTATTTTCATTCAACCTAAATAATCACCTGGAGGGTTTTGCCATCAAAACCCAACAAATGTTTTCATTTTTTCGATTGGGACTATTCTACAACGAAGTGCTCTTGGATACTGGGAACAGGTATTGATACAATTCCAGCGAGAGCACTTTAAATTGCTGCTGAAATAATTAGTCCGTCACTAACGTGGATATTTAATTTATCAATTAAAACTGGAATTTATGGGGAAGAATGGAAAAAGGCTTGGGTTTTACCGATATATAAATCTGAAGACAGACAAAAATGCGAAAATTATCGTCCAATTTCCATTCTACCAATTATAAGTAAAATCTTTGAACGTTTAGTCTTCAACCAATTATACAAATATCTAAATGAAAACTCCTTGCTTTCTAAGTATCAATCCAGCTTCCGTCCAAAGAACTCAACTTTGTCTGCACTTATTCAAATATGCGATGCATGGTACACTAACATGGATAATGGAGACTTGAACGGTGTTGTTTTTCTTGATATTCGGAAAGCGTTTGACTCAATTAACCATAATATTTTATTGCGTAAAATGAAAGAACAATTTGGAGTTTTAAATATCGAATTAAAATGGTTTGAATCCTACATTTCTAATAGGGAACAAGTGTGTTTTGTCAATGGCACGATGTCAACACCTAGAAATCTCGTTTGTGGAGTCCCTCAAGGGTCTATTTTAGGCCCACTTCTATTCCTGCTTTATATTGATCTCCCAAATAATCTCAAGAATACAATCCCGTGCTTATATGCTGATGATACACAGATTTTTTCATCTGCTAATGACTATCAGCACCTCGTTTTCAATTTGAACAGTGACTTGAATAACATAAGTCAATGGCTCAAACAAAACAAATTGCAACACCATTCATCCAAAACTAAATTAATGTACGTAGGATCTAAACATAATCTCCATAAGATAAATAATGACATTCCTGTAATGTTAAATGGTCAACCAATTCCTAGGGTAACCTCAATGCCTTGTTTGGGCGCCACCCTTGATGAAACGTTGAGTTGGGATGAGCATATTGACGTAATTTGCAGAAAGGTTGCAGCAGGTATTGGAACGTTAAGGCGCATCAAGCCATTCGTTCCTGCAAACATGCTGCAATCAATCTATAGCGCTTTGATACAACCCTACTTCGATTATTGTTCTGCCCTTTGGGACACTTGTAACAAAACATTAAAAGACAAATTGCAGAAGTTTCAAAATCGAGCAGCTAGGATAATAGCTGGTGCTGGTTATGAGATCAGGTCTTCAATCTCTTGAATGGGACAATTTAGAATCTAGAAGAAAATTAACTAAGGCAACTCTTGTTTATAAAATTTTAAACGACCATAGTTCGCCGAACTTGAAAGAGTTTTTGATAAAAAGGAATATTTCGCAAACGACTTACGATCTCAGAAATGCTCAGAATGATCTGACCGTTCCTAAGCCAAGACGCGACTTTTTGAAAAAGAGTTTTCGATATAGTGGTGCTAAACTATGGAATGATCTTCCTGGTGAAGCTAAGGAAGCCCTATCAATATGTTCTTTTAAAAATATTGTAAGGCAAAGTAACTAACCTAATATTAATCTAAATGGATTATTACAGACATATTTATATGACCAAATCACACCAAACCACCAACTTCCTTTTAAACCATTCTAATTAATTACTATATATATTGCATGTATTTGTACTTATATTTGTCTTTTTTGTAAATAGTTTTTGTAAATTTTCAAATGTCGACGCCCCTTGTGGAAATCAACTCTCTTTGTTGACAAGGCTAGCGTCTTTAAATAAATTTTTACATACATACATACATACATACATACATACATACATACATACATACATACATACTGTAGTCTAAACACATAGGAAGACGAAGAAGTGGCATTTATCGGGCAGAGAAGCTGCGAGCCATTAAAATGGCGGCAATTTGACGAAATATCGAAGGACACAATATATATCGAAGATAAAATATACTGCACTGTTTCAAAACTTCATTAAACTTCGTCGAAATCGTCTTTAGCCATCTATCATTATGTAAAAGTACAACAACTGGATGATATCAGCGAGACTCGGCGATAAAAAGCAAACAAGACGGCAAAGTATGGCTGAAATGGTGTTTTGGGGGGGGGGTGAGTGAATTAAAATGTATTATATTTAAAGAAAACAATGACAATCCTTATGAAAACTACAATAATTATATTAAATTAAGCATAGTTTTTCATCCCATGATAATTTTCTTTAGGAAATAAGAACATTAAATTTCTGCCAGGCATATTAGTTATTTTGTGCATAATCAGCAATTTACCTGGGGTGGTGCATAGTCATTTTCTGGTAAAATATTATACTTAGACAAATTTTTCCTTCCAATGACCACCCCTAAAAGCAACCATTCTAAACACTATAAGCACTTCAGAAAGGCTGTCGCTTTTGCTTTTCGGAAGTTAGAGCTATGTCGGCACTGCCGTTTCAGGGCGGGGTCATTTTCAGGACTTTTGCCCCGGATTCAGGTTTTGGCACATATGTCATGTTGACCGCCATGGTCATTTTACCCTAAAACAGTTGAGATTACCTGTGCTAAATGAAACGCATACAAACATCTATACAGGCCTAGACTAAAGGTGTAGAACACGAACAGTCGAAATATATTCAGGTTTATTTGTAAGTTTTAAATCTATCAGTGTGGATGTTGTCTCCGTAATTCTCTTAGGTTCATTAATGACTTGACTTAACTTATTCATATAAAGAGCATAAAGTTTGCAGTTTATGAGTTTGTGAATCAGAAGCTAGTTTGTTAACGTCGCAGTTTAGATCCCCAGCTAAGATTAATTCCTTATTTTCCATATCGCACTTAAAAAGAACCAATTCAAAGTTGGTAAATATGTCGAGCTCTGAATTAGGTGGTCGATACCAGGTAGCAATTTGAAGAGGCTTACTATATTGCCTAGTAATCTCCACACATGAAATTTCTAAATTATCAGGGACTAAATATTTTCTCTCAGTCTATGGTATATTATTTTTTGTATATAGAGCCACACCAGCCCCAAATCTATTACGATCAAAACGAACAATTGTATAATTATCAATTATATGAATTTCTGCATCCAAAATTGAGGAGTCGATTTTAGTCTCATTAACTATTGCCAAAATGTCAAAAGGGTTATCAGACAGCAAGATACGAATCTCATCGATATGTTTTAAAAGACTATTAATGCATAGGCCTAACTAATTATAAGAATTTTTTATCGCTGCACATTTTTGTGCAAATTTTAGCCGAGCAGAAGCACGCCCTGAAAATTTCTGAACACACCCTTATAATAATGTATAACAACAAAGCCGGCTACAATTGATATTCAAGAATACCAAAACGAACATACACTACACAGCACTCAGGGAAATTTGGGGGCCCCCGACAAACTTTGACTTGGGTGCTCTCGTGATTCCATGTTCTAACACTATGATTAAGGGGTACGGGGGCATCCCCCGGAAAAATTTTGCAATCTGAGGTCCCAGAAATGGTCAAATCCTGCCTTCTGGAAGTCTAGTTGACAGTTATATCTATGTATATTTCACTGCAATTCTTTATTTGGGCCCCCATTTGACTGGGGTCCCAGGGAAAATTGCACCCCTATGGGCAGCCTTGACAGCACCTGCAGTCATAGACTATCTATGACAGCTTAGTTTCATAATAACATGACTGAAGAAAATAAATATTTTCGTATTGGCAAATGAAAGGCGACTTACGGGCTTAGGCGTGACAAACCTAAACCTATTTATTAAAATCGTGATCGCGCCTGGCGCGTGCGCACGCACGCTAAGCGCTCTGGAAAAGTCTGGTGTTTTTTCCCTTTAACACTCAAGATTGGATACAAATTTGAGTAAAAGTTGCGGATAAGAACATCGTCTAACGTGTTCTGAGGTTTGCGATCGGTTTTTGTATTTATATTTGACGAGAAAGTAACTAATTTACGTGGATTTGATCATTGGATTTGAAATTGTAATTAAAATCGTTTGTTCAGTTGGTTATACGCGTGATCGTATACAATCGCCATCAATAGGGAACTTTAGATTCGCTACGGCTACGAAATCTAGTACGACTACGAGATTTTTTCCATTAAATATCAGCTACTAAAAACTTATAATAGTGAGTGGTTTGGCGCAACTGTTGCTATAAAGATGTGGTATGCAAAAGAAAGGACGATAGAAAGTCTGTAGTAGCGGATATTTAACGGAAAAAATCTCGTAGTCGTACCAGATTTCGTAGCCGTAGCGAATCTAAAGTTCCCTAATATGCTGACGACAGCGCGCACTTTTAAACTGTGCGCGCGTGCATCGCTAATTAATGGACGAAATCGGACGCAATTCGCCTGGAACTATATTCAAAATTACGGGATTTTTGACCTAATAACTAACGGAGTGAAATGTTTAATTTTAATCGTGACAATTCTCTGGTTGTGTTTAAAACTAAGAATTGATCATCCTTATCAAGAAACCAGTTTAAATGGAATAATTATTAACTCTGAACTTGCTTCTTTACCGGAGAATTTGTGCTGTATTTGGGCATCTACTCGGGATTTTAAGCAAAGAAAACTTAACTACCCACACAACCATCGCTACGGACTTGAACTACAAACTAATCGTAAGTTACTTCATGTCATTTTATGTATTCTATTGGCTGGGGGATGTGGCGACAAATCCTGGTCCTTGTTCTTCTTTACCAAACAACGTTAACAACCGACCAGTGAAATGTCTTGCACTTAATGCTAGAAGCTTAACAAGCTTTCACGGAGCAAACAATAGCGAAGGGGATTGTAGTAATATGGAGCGCTTCCAGAACTTAGTATACACTGAGGACAGTGACATTGTCTGTGTGAACGAAACCTGGCTGAGGGAGGACACTGGGCCAGATAACTTAGAAATTTTACACTCGGGCTACACGATATTCAGAAAAGATCGAAAATCTCGTGGAGGGGGAGTGTTGCTCGCTGTAAAGTCATCTTCTTTTAAATCTGTACGAGAGATCAAACATAACTATAACATAGAAGTTACGGTAGCTGAATTAACGACTGCCTCTGATATGAAGTTACTTGTTGCTTCATGTTATCGTCCTCCAAACGAGGATCAGCTTGGATGGAAAGATTTAACAACTTTCTAGTGGGTGTTTGCTCTAACCATGCAAATATTGTACTCGCAGGAGATTTTAATCTACCACAGATCTCATGGAACTCGCCGGAAACAACTACGGGAGTCAGTGAGAGTACCTTCATCGAACTTCTTCATGATCATTTTCTCGTTCAACTAAACAACACAGCGACTAGAGGAGACAACATACTCGATCTCGTTATCACGAGCATCCCCGATCTGGTTAAAGTATGTGATGTCTGGTCTCCTGCAGAAGCAGAAATCTTCACCGACCACAACGTCATCAACTTCGAACTTTTATTCCATCCCAAACGTGCACCCAAGATACAGCGAACTGTGTACGACTATCGCCGCGAAGACTTTACTGCTCTACGATCAGCTCTAGAATCTTTAAACCTTTCCGCAACTATCTCTGCTGACAGTGACATCAACGATGATTGGAGAAATTGGAGAAATACTTTTGTCGATACGGTGTCACACCACATCCCATCTACAAAGATACGTGGCCGGAATTATGTGCCGTGGATGAACAGCGACATACTACACAATATCAAAAAGAAAAGTTCTCTACGACGTAAGCTGAAAAAATCTAAAGCACCAAAAGAGCATCTTAAAGCAAAAATCAAGGAACTTAGAACTACCATAAAAAAATGTTGCGTGTTAGTCGCTCAAGGTACATAAACTGTGTTTGTGCAGATCGCAGCAATCATCTGAAGCGCTTTTGGTCGATATTCAAATTGAAATCCAAGGTTTGCAACGTTCCTGAGAAAGTGTCGATGGCTGAAAGTGAAGGTGCAAGAACATCTGCAGAATCGCCAGAAGCCATCGCATCCATCTTTAACACCTATTTCACTTCAATCTTCACCAGAGATCAACCTAGCACGGAAAAATATTCGCGTACGATCGACGAAGATTGTGACCTTTCTACAAACACCACCTTGTTAGAAGACATCACGTTAACACCAGATCATGTTGCTGCAGTCTTAAGAACTCTTGACAAAGATAAAGCACACGGACCGGATGGTATCCCCGCTCGTCTACTTACAGAAACAGCGTCAGTAATAGCACCATCGCTTTGTGATCTGTTCAACAAGTCACTGCGCACTGGAGTAGTACCGCGAGAATGGAAACTGGCCAATGTCGTTCCTGTTTTTAAGAAGGCCGGAGATAAAGAATATGTTGAAAATTATAGACCAATATCTCTGCTGTCTTTAATATCTAAAGTACTGGAACGCTGTTTGTTCGAATGCATCAAAGATCGCGTGTTTAGCCAGATTAATCCTTGTCAACATGGCTTCATCCCAGGAAGAAATTGCGTCACTCAGTTAATCGAAGTGTTCGACACGATTGGTAACTTGTTGGATCGTGGTAAACAAATCGATGTCTTATACCTGGACATGTCGAAAGCCTTCGATAAGGTGAGCCACACGCGTCTTCTCCTTCGTCTACGTGATTTCGGATTTAGTGGTAACATCCTCAAAAGATTCCAATCATACTTACAAGATCGTAGACAACAAACGACAATCCTTGGAGCAACATCATCTCCTACACCAGTAACTTCAGGAGTACCTCAAGGCTCAATTCTTGGTCCACTACTGTTCTTGTTATACGAAAACGGCCTACCTTCCAGTATCGTGAGTTCTTCTATCGCAACTTATGCTGATGACACCAAATTATTTAAAGAGATAAACTGCCTTGATGATGCTACAGCGTTGCAGGATGACCTATTAAACTTTGAAACCAGTTCCTCGAATGCTGGTCTTCAATTAAACACTTTGAAGTGTAAAACTCTCCGTGTTACCAGAAGGCGCGAGACAATCGAGCATCAATACAGTCTGGTTAACCAAACCTTAGAGACCTCAAAACATGAATTTGATTTGGGTGTATGGATCTCCAACAACTTGACCTGGCGAAAACAAGTCTTGGAACAATGTTCAAAGGCAAATAAATTGCTGGGATTTGTAAAACGATCCACAAGAAACATCACCAGTCAATCAGCGCGTCGTGCCCTCTACCTAACTCTCGTAAGATCTCAAGTCGGTTATGCAACGCAAGTTTGGTCACCACAGTCCGTTGAGCTCATCTCCAGATTAGAACGAGTACAAAGGCGTGCTTCAAAATACATCCTTGGCCTGCCTTTTCTTTGCGAAGCCAGTTACGAGCAACGACTGAAGAAATTGAAGCTTCTTCCCATCAGCTATTGGCACGAGTACTTGGACATGATGTTTTTATTTAAAGTAAGTTGTGGTGCCATAAATCTTCCGAGATCAGTCCTTCCTACGCAAAATCTGAACGTTAGAACAACACGATCTGTTCAACCAAACTGTCTCCAATTCCGCACGAAGAAATGCTATACAGCGACATACCAACAGTCCTATACAATCAGATCAACAAGGATCTGGAATACTTTACCAAAACTCATAACTAATAAATCTAATTTTTATATACCTTGACTACTACTATCTCTGCTTTACAACTTAATTATAACATAGATGATCCTCGTTCGTGGAAAACAATTTGTTTAAAGTGTAATCAGACTCATGATCTCACTAACCTCTTGCATGCTGTTTTTAAATGATAATTTTTTAAGAGACAATGTGAATGCTTTGTATAGTTTAAGATAATTTGTTTGTTGTCTAATGGGATCACAGTAATTGGCCAAAAGCTGTCGTGAATGCCCTGTCACAATTGTTGTAAATTGTTGTATTGTTAGATCTATAGTGCATTTCGAGTTATCTTGCATCTACGGTTTTCATGTCTGTTTTAGTCTGTTTTAATATGGTTTAACAGTTTGTTGGTCCTGGAAAACGATACATGTAAGGATAGCTCGGAACGTGTTATAGTCATTATAGTATTTAGATATGTAATTTATATTGTGACGAAGTTTATAAAATTAAAATTAAAAAACCTCTAGAGGAGTTCCAGGAGCATGCACCCACAGACAATTTTGTAATCTAGGCACTATAAAAGGCCATCTCCTGCATTGCGCAGGGACATTCTATAGAATTCTGAAAATTATACAGTAATTAAAAAATCTTAAGTATCATTCACTCCATCTTCCAAACCCATAATCCCCGAGCCGGCGGCGCGAAGCGCCGTGCGAGGGTACTAATTCCCCCCGGCTATTTACACCCGGGGAAACGAAAGCATTAGCCAAGTCTAAAGTTCATCAAATATCGCGGGCGTGACCAACGAACCTTGAGTGGGTGGTCGTCCTCACTGATCTCAAAAATATGGCGGACTGTCATGGATAGCGAACACTGATTGGTCAAATTTAAAATTTGTTGTTGTATGACAAATGACGACTTCAACTGACAGATACTTCATGAAAATAACTTGCTTTTTACACTACAGTATTTTGTACGTTTGCAAAAAACTTTGACAGCTTTCAAAGCAATTTGTTCTATAAAAAGTTTAATAAAACAATTACGGTATCAAATACCAGTTGAAAAGATATGCATGGAGCCAAATGAAGAGCGGCAAGGAAACGACAAGAAAGCCGAACGTCTAGCGAAAAGGAAGGAGCGAAGACGACAACGTTTGCTCGAGGAGACTGCTAAGGAAAGAGAAGCTCGCCTGGGAAAGCGTAGAGAAGCATGGAAAAAAAAGACTGCTGAAGCGAAAGGTAAGCAAAGGCTTGTCTTCACAACGCTATGTACCAATGATACTGAAGCTATACAAGTTAAACTTTGATATTCGACCCCCTATATTCGGCTATTTCTTCACAATTTTCCAATAAAGAGTTTGTCATGACATGCTCAAGTCAGTATAACCAGACTGTATTTTATTTATATCAGTTATCACAGCCACAGGCAATTTTACGCTGTCAAATACCGTCGGTGGCAACTAAGGGTGAACAGTTGCAGATAAAACATTCTCTATTCTCATTAAAAAGCCTGTAAAGATTTCCAGTAGGTCTCTAGCCCAACACGTTCAGACCACACAAAGTTTTGTTACTTATTATTGTACACATGGGAAACAACAATTAAGTGTTGTTGTTCTTGACAAACATTGAAGATTCTAATCACGCGAATGTTTTTATGAGCGACTGTTCATCGTTAGTTGCAAACGACGGTACAACATACTATGAACATTTTTCCGACTGTGACCGAATGTGCAACGATATATTTTTCAAATTTGTTAACAATTCCTAAAATTTGTTTATAGTAAAACGGACTGCTCAGCACTCACTACTCACGATGATTTCATTTAGAAATGCTGTTACCAGGAAAGGAACTGATTCTAAAATATGTAAATTTAAAAGCATTGGCTATTACGATGTGAGGACAAGGTACAAACTTTTATAGTTGCTATTTGTTATAAAATCCTATAAATAAACCGATTCAACAATAATTTTGCCTCGAATTTGCATATTCTATGCTGCATGTTTATATTTTATTTTTATAGTATAAAAATAAAATTGTATAACTATGAAATAAAATACATTTCTGTTTATTGACCAGTACTTATTTAATGTCTTCTTCATCCAGCAGTCAGAGTAAATTTCTACTTCTAGCAAGTAAATATTTGACAAGCAGTCTGGAATAAGCACAGGACTTTTAATGCATCAGCCAAATCCAAGTGTGCCCATCCCCCTCGCCCAGCCATTTTCCTGTAAAGCACATCCCGGAGGTTGGGCATTTCCACTCGAACCTTAGCCCCGGCGGGGCATTTGAAATTAATAATTTGGATTCTTGCACTTCACTTGTGGAATTAATATTAGAATGTTAGGGTTTGTAATCCAAGTGAGAATATATACATGTATATATTTTGTAATACAAGTGAGAATATTTTGTAATCCAAGTGAGAATATACAAATGTATAGTACATGTATATATTTTGTGTATATATTTTGTAATCCAAATGAGAATAGTTTGTAATCCAAGTGAGAATATACAAATGTATATATTCTCACTTGGATTACAAACCCTAACATTCTAATTTTAATTCCACCAAGTGAAGTGCAAGAAACCAAATTATTGAAGTCCACCTTATCACAACCCGCACACACAATTACCTAAATATACATGAACTTACGGTTAAAGCTCAACAGCTGGCCTCTGTAGCTCAGTTGGTTAGAGCGCTGCACCGGATCATCGCAGGGCCGTAGGTTCAATTCCTACCAGAGGACCTTGTGCTGCATTTTTTGCAGTCGTTCCTGGTTATACTTAAAATGTATATACTCTCACTTGGATTACAAACCCTAACATTCTAATATTAAGTCCACCAAGTGAAGTGCAAGAATCCAAATTATTGAAGTCCACCTTATCATAACCCGCACACCCGATGACCTAAATATACATGAACTTACGGTTAAAGCTCAACAGCTGGCCTCTGTAGCTCAGTTGGTTAGAGCGCTGCACCGGAATCGCAGGGCCGTAGGTTCAATTCCTACCAGAGGACCTTGTGCTGCATTTTTCGCAGTCGTTCCTGGTTAGGTCTTAAAATGTATATAATCTCACTTGGATTACAAACCCTAACATTCTAACATTTGAAATTAAGGATTTGGAGGTTTTGCGATCACTGATAACTTGATAATAATATAAAACAAAACACTTCTATCTGCAACTTTTACAATCACTGATAACTTGATAATAATTTAAACCAGTCAAGTTGTAGTTTAAATAGAGAATAATGCATGGGTGCACGAAATACCAGATTTATTTCGAGTGTTGAACATGAGTGTGCAGCGAACGAGTGAGCGCAGCGAACGAGTGAGATGTCATGTCCAACACGAAAAATAAATCTGGTATTTCCAACCACCCATGTATTTTTCTGTTTATTATATAAAGGACAGTCTTAAATGAAAAGCGATAATTTTTACAGAAAAGCGATAATTGAAAAGGCGATAATTTTCACATGTGAGATTATCATGAATAATTTCACATGTGAGATTATCATTTTTATCAGTGCTCGAAATCTCTGTAAAACACTATACTTTATATAATAAAAATTCATAAATTTGAACCATGAACAACAGCAAAATGCTCTATAGTATGATGCACAATATTTTGGGAGGTGAAATACAC